TTTTTTTTATTGAGGGGGTGCCCCTTGACAAAATTTAAATACTTTTGTACGTCACTGTATGTACGTTCGATGCTTTTTTAATGAGTGAAATAAAAAACAAGTTTTTTTGAATATACGGTTTCATTGCTTTGTAGCATAACTTATAAATGTTTATTACGTTGCTACGCTTATTAACATTATTTTAGCGCTTATTTAAATTCTTATTGTTTATTCTTTTTCTGTTTTTTTTTTTGGGATAATGACAAATATGTACTTTCACATCTCGTTAAGTCATTAATAACACAAAATCGACAAATTGGTATTTAATTAAAGAAAATAAATAATTTTTGACTTAAAGCCAAACTTGGTAGCCACTTGAGAGAATTAAATTTAAGAAAAAAAAAAATGTGAATACACTTAGCAGCCACGGGATTTGTTGCAAAACAGGTTTGTGTATAATTTCATTTCCAAAAAAGTCAGATTTAGAGGTTCTTTGCTTGCATGTTTATCGGAACACATTAACGATTTATATACAAACATTATTATTGCTTGCCACTCATGCTTGTTTATTTATTTTTAAGAATCTTCCATTATAACACAGTTCATACTCCAATAAACCCTTATAAGCCCAAGTTTAAAACTTTGCCACCAAATTTCAAACTTTTATTGCAGAAATTTTAGAATTTTGTTGAGTATACAGTTTTGTAGCCCATTTAGTTTGAGTATAACAATGTGCGAGTAGCAGGTGTCAAGGAATTACTGTTTATTTTTTTGGATTTTTTTTTTTGCCGAAGGTGTTGCCGTGTAGTCAGCTCCAGCAGCTTTGTTGTTTTTCAATTGCGCTATTGCTATTCGTACCTCGTCATAGTCAGGTGGTGGAACATCGACTCCGTCATCATCGACTGGGGGCTCGGGTTATTCTTCTCCACAATTTTCCGTGCTGCTACGTCTTTTCTCACTGCAGCTTCTTGAACTCCTCATCCTTCCGGTTGTTCTTTCGGGCTCGCTGAAATCCGATTACTTCTTTGGCGGCGGTACTTATTGAGCGAGAAATGTGGCTCCAGTGCTCACGCAAGTTGGCTTGTTGAAGAGTGTTCTCTGAGAGCAGGTGTGAGTGGCGAGTAGCGAAAGCGCTGGCTGTCTGTTGTGATTGCAGCTTTTCGACGTTAAGCTTTCCTTGCATTTTTTGTGGATGCGTTTTTTTCTGCACAGAGACGAGTGCGTACCTTGTCTGCAACAAGAAAGTGGACTGAGTGGCCAAACATCGCCCTTGCAGTGAAAGTACGCCTAAAACACTGAAAGCATGCACACATGATCACAACATGATCG